ACTATTAAATGGGGAGCTATCTCTTCTCAACAACCTTCATAAATTAAATCAAATGTTGTCGATAAGAAGATTATTTGAATAAGAAATGTTTGAGGATAAGACTGCATAAACACTAGAGTTAACCAAGACGTGTTAGTTTAGTGGGTGAACGGCTTGCGACTGCAAGTATACTCCAAGTTCAATTAGCACAGGCCATCGAGGCTTCCACATGAGTTCTTGATCAAAGGAAAAAAACACATAATCTGAGGTTCGTTCTCACTAAAGACTTTAAACCTATTCTGTAATTAGTCTAGACCATACTTAAAAACATCTTTAATCACCATAGATTAAATCAAATTTAGTCTAGTAAAAGATTATTTGAATGAGTAATTTAGATTGACCAAACAAATACTATTTTTGTTTCAACTGATTTGTCGTTGTAGAGTAAAATTTTCGTTTTAAAATAAGTGTTGTTTTACAATTTCAATGTAAAATTTATTGATTTCATATGTCATTTTAGTTTTTCATTGGTTGAAATGTGGTTAGATGTATAGATAATGGTGTTTTTATCTTAAAAATATATAAAATTAAATGTTTTTTTAATCTGTTTGTAAAAGCTTAAAACATCAACTATTGCATTTTTCTTTTGACTTGTATAGCAGCATAGCATTGTAGGCATCTTCTAAGCATACGTTTATATTGTTTTGTTTTAACTGATGATTAAACTATTTGGCTAGCCTGGTAACCATTGAGTTCCACAAGAGCTTGTGGGTCAAATAGCAAAGATAGATTGAGGTGTGTGTTTGGCTAGTTTTTCATTGAGACATTTAAAGAGGTATTTCACAATTCTTTTTACAGATTCATATATATTGTTAGCTTCTTCACCATTAACCCGCCTTGCAACATTCTAGACATCAACATGTCTACAAACAAACCCCTCCAACTTGTCATCCACACTGAATTTGAAACAATAAGACAAAACTAAAAGTTATAATAAAGCTCCACAAAATAGGGCACTGACATTTTAAACTTTTTCGATATCTAACTAGTTAAAGTTTTGTCAACTAAATTAAAGTTAACCAGATAATATGCAATCAGGCACATTACTTGACGTGTATGAAACCAAACGAAGGAGAGTTTTAGCCGGCAAAACTTATGAAAGATGGATACTCATGAAAGGATAAGATTTTCTATAAAGTTACATCAATCAAGTAGATTCTCCACCTTTTGATTTATGCCTGAATGTGCTGTGCTGTTTTGCAAGAAGTTATTGGGGTTTTTTTTTTATAGAAAATGTCAATGTGAGACCATTTTATAAAATATATAACAGTCAATAGTTTGGTTTATGTGAACATGCAATAAGGATCTGAGCCTGCAATCCTAAATAAGTAACTTCTGTCAATCAGTATGAATATTTGTCAAATTTTAGTATGAAAACACAAACTCTCTCTATTTCAAAATAATACATATTTTAAGATTTTCACACTTATTAAAAAAACACTTAAAACTTAGTTATTGTTTGACAAAAAAAAAACTTAGTTATTAATACATAGTTTTTGTAATTTTATATTTTCTATATTTGTAAGCCAATAAAATTAAAATATAATAAATTGTTTTGAAATTCATAATGTTTCATTATTAGTTAACAAAAAATGATTTGAAAATCTAAAAAAATATATCTTTTTGAAACAATTTTTTTTTCTAGAATGTGTATCTTTTTGAAAAGAGAGAGTACAAGATATTTTCTTTATGATCACTTATTGAAATTCCAGAATTTTATAGGTTCCTTTGAGTTGAAATTTCTGATAATATTTGTACCATATAATAAGTTATACTTAACATTATATGTTCTCTTTCTTCAGAAACTATTTTTCTGACAAAGAAAATACAAAAATAATTCCTGATAAACATCCTGCTAATTTTATTTATTGGGAAAATTGTCATTTAAATCACCAACTTTCAAATTTGGTTGAAATAAAGCACCAACTTTCTCATAAGCCAAAAAAACACTCAAGTTTTGTTGTCAAGCCATTTTAATCACAAACTTTCTTCGACCATACCAAATTAGGCATATCGTTAGTCAACAGTTATAGTTGACTAACGGTAAGCCTAAAATGGCATTCAAAGTTGATGTTTTTTTTGGCACAAATATAAGTCAATATTTTTTTTACAGTATTGGATATATTTTAAATATTGAAAATATTTTTATAACTGAAGCACTAATAAATAAAGTTATAAACAAAAAATCCAATAAAAAATATAAATAAAACTCAATGTAAAATAATTTGTTAACATACATTAATTGAGTATCGTGGGTTATAAAATGATAAGAATATTTTAACTATTTACGATTAATTTTTGTAAATATTTATATAATTATATTTGAATTATGTTTTATAATTTTATTTTCAAAAGTTTGTTGATGAAATATTAATTCAACTCTTGTTTCTTAAATGAAAAAAATTATCGATTAAAGAATTATTCATGATTCTTTAAGTTTATAATAAAGATCTTCAAACAAATCTATATATTTTCTATAAAATTTTTACAAGAGGTTTTCTGCAATTAAAAAAAAAAGTTTCACTAAAATAGATAACTCTTTTTGTTATCCGATAACTCATTTTGTTTAAAAAATCAGGAATTGAAGTAATATTTTACTAACAAATTTTTGACAGTAAAATTATTAAACATAATCCGTGTAGGATTATACAAATAGTTTTTAAAAATTTATCGTAAATAATTAAAAAAATCATAATTATTTTTAACTAAAATACTCAATTAAGGATATGTTAATTAGAATCCTTATACGACCTCTCTCACATAAGAAAGCCACCAAACATTTCTAAAACCCACCGACCCCTCTGCTTTTAACCTAGCCGCCAAGTTTTTCTTGGAGTAGATCTCCGCCTCTCCGGTGTTTGTCGCTCCTCGACACCACCGGAGAGGGGTTCGGCTCTTCTTTTGCTTCCTTTTGATATAGCTTGTGTGTGTTTATCTGGAGTTTTTGAGTTTGGGTTACATCTATGGTGTGGCGGTTATGGATATGGCGTGTCACTCAGTCGTCGATGGTTGTCAAGGATGTGGTGTCTTTTCATTTCTTTCTCTTGAGACTAGGGTCAACTGGGGTCATCAGTTCAAGTTTTCTTTTCGCTTTGGTTCCTTCGCGTTTGGATCTGTGGTTTCTTGTGATTCTTCCGACGGTGACACTTTGACGATGCTAGTCTTCGTTGATTTGCTCTATCAGGTTGTGTTCTTGTCTTTTTCATTGTTTTTTTCTCTCTTTGCTTTCGTTTTTTTGGGAATTTTGTCTGTTGGGCAGTTTTTTGGAATGAGCTTACCTCCTCCAATGATTAGATTGTCAGATAGTGTTTCTAGTCATGTTACTCGAGACCGATGTTTTTGGGAGGAGCTCTTTTAGTGTTATTAATCTGAATGGGTAGAGTATCAACTTGGAGTTGGACTTTGGTTTATTGCACTCTTCTCAAGCTGCTATTGTGGATAAAAGTAGAGCTTGCAGTTCTCAATGTTCTAACTCATAGATCTTTATTCATCGCTTAAGTTCAGATTAAAGTTCTGGTCTTCAATTTTCATCAGAAAACGATTTGCAAAAGGCGCTTCACGACCTCCAGGTTAAAAGAGTGAATATCATCTGCTACTATGTGGGAAGCTCTCTCCGAGCCTCTGGTTTTTCCCAACTTTTCATTTGGTATCTCAACTTGCGATCGATGAACAATTTTCATCTCTGCTAAGTGTTTGTGGTCTCCAATGAGGTCAATATAATCACTACTGAGATTGTTTCAAGTGACACAAAGGATTTCTGCTATCAATAGCAGTGGCTCATGGTGAAAGGAGGTTGAGACGGACCCTTCGTTTTATCTCTCCATAGGAAGGTTTTTCTTTTATCATAAGGCATCTACTGATGTTTCTATCTTGTGTACTCTGTTTTGATCTTTCTTGTTTTTCATTTTTCCATCACAAGTCGATTGAATTGAACATTTTAATAAAGTACTCCTCGACAAAAAAAAAAGGATATGTTAATTAATAATTTTACATTGAGTTATGTTTCTATTTTCGAATGGAATTTTTTTTTTATTTAAAATTTTATTTATTAGTGTTATAGTTATTAAAAGTTTCAATATTTAAAAGCAAATATTTTGAAAAATTGTTGATTTATATTTGTGCCAAAAAAACACCAACTTTAAAAGCCATTTTAGGCATACCGTTAGTCAACTATAACTGTTGACTGAAAATATGACTAAATTGGTATGGTCAACGAAAGTTTGTGACTAATATGGCTTATCAACAAAAATTGAGTGTTGATTTGGCTTATGAGAAAGTTGGTGCTTTATTTCAACCAAATTTGAAAGTTGGTGATTTAAATGACAATTTTCCCGTNCTTTAAAAGCCATTTTAGGCATACCGTTAGTCAACTATAACTGTTGACTGAAAATATGACTAAATTGGTATGGTCAACGAAAGTTTGTGACTAATATGGCTTATCAACAAAAATTGAGTGTTGATTTGGCTTATGAGAAAGTTGGTGCTTTATTTCAACCAAATTTGAAAGTTGGTGATTTAAATGACAATTTTCCCGTGATATAGAAATGAAATACTTGTGATATAGTTATAATTTTTTTTCAACTTGTGATATAGAAATGAAATACTTCTAAGTTTTAAAAACTATACCATAAAAAGTGTGGAACATAAAATAATAATGAATTTAATAGATAACACACGAGAAAGGTAACAAGAACATCTTTTGTGTGTTGGCTAGCTTCCGTGGGCTAAAGACGTGCACGAAGTCGCAGAAGACAAACCCTACCTTCCTCCACCTTCTCCTCTCTTCACAAGCGTCTCTCTCCTTTACCCACCACCACACACATACACACACACACCTACCCCTCCCCAAATGCCTTAATAAACATTCTCTCTTTCATCTCCATATGATTCTCTGTCTCTTCCTCTGATTCTTTTTTAGATCCTCTGTTTTCTCCGCCTCCTCTGTTTTTTCTTTCTCATCAATGGAGGCGTCATTGCTAACGATGAGAGCATCTCTCTCTTCCCCTGCAACTGTCTTCCTCAACCATAGACGCGAGCTACCTATTTCTCCTACGTTAGCCAAACCTTCCTTCTCTGTTCGCTTCTCTCTTCCTCCCTCGAAGCCACCGCCACGTTCCGGAGCCACCTCTGTTCACGCCGTTATGACTCTCGCTGGGTATGAACTCGAAAACTAATCAAAGGCTCTTCCTTTGATGAAAATTAACGAAACCCATTAGCTTAAAGTAGAAACGAAACCCATTGTTAGACTTAGCTTAAAGTAGAAACCTTGTGTTGATACAGATCGTTGATAGGGAAGAAACGTGTGGATGAAAGCGAGAGTTTGACTCTGGAAGGTATCAGAAACTCGTTGATCAGACAAGAGGACAGCATTATATTTGGTTTGTTGGAGAGAGCCAAGTACTGTTACAATGCGGATACTTATGATCCTACTGCTTTTGACATGGATGGTTTCAATGGTTCTTTGGTTGAGTATATGCTTAAAGGCACTGAGAAGCTTCACGCTAAGGTTTTTAACATAAATATAATAATTCTTTAAAGGTATCGTAAGTTTATGGTGGATTGTTATTGATAAAAAAAGACTGGAACCTGTGATGAGTTTAGGTTGGTAGGTTCAAGAGCCCTGATGAACATCCTTTCTTCCCTGAAGATTTACCTGAGCCTATGTTGCCTCCTCTGCAGTACCCAAAGGTGCTTAAAGATTTGAATCTTAAGTTGTTTTGTCTTGGCTTCTGTACAATATGCTAAGAGCTTCAAGTTTCTTTTCTTTTTTTTTTAATCAAATAGGTTTTGCATTTTGCTGCTGATTCAATCAACATAAACAACAAGATATGGAACATGTACTTTAGAGACCTTGTCCCAAGACTAGTGAAGAAAGGTGATGATGGTAATTACGGATCAACAGCTGTTTGTGACGCTATCTGCCTTCAGGTTCGGTTTCTGTCAGAAACAAGCTTTGATCTTTAGAATGTTCTAACCTCTTTTGGTAAGTAAGTAAGTACTCATGTAGTTTTGTGATGTTTATTGCAGTCTCTTTCAAAGAGGATCCATTACGGTAAATTTGTTGCAGAGGCCAAGTTCCAAGCCTCACCTGAGGCATACGAGCCTGCCATCAAAGCACAAGTATATATATACACTTCTCCAAAGTTTATTGAACTCTTTTGTGCTTGTGTCTATGTGCATATCTCACCTTTTAAATCCGCAACACCTGCGTTGTGCAGGATAAGGATGCGTTGATGAATATGCTAACGTTCCCGACGGTGGAGGAGGCTGTAAAGAAGAGAGTTGAGATGAAAACACGAACATACGGGCAAGAAGTGAAAGTGGGCATTAAGGAGAAAGAAGAAGAAGCAGAGCTGAATGAATCTCAAGTTTACAAGATCAGTCCAATCTTGGTTGGTCACTTGTATGGAGATTGGATCATGCCTTTGACAAAAGAGGTTCAAGTGGAGTACTTGCTCAGAAGACTAGATTGAAGAAAGAAATGGGCTTTTGGTAGTATACTAGTATATTTTTTTCTTTGTTTGGAATGGTTTCTTGGTTTTTTAACTTTACAAAATATCTCAACGTTATTTACATTACACTAAGATTCCATGTTTTGGTTCCACTGTCCAAAGAGATTGTCAGTGGTAGTATCTATGTTTACATGCTAAACGAACCAGTGTGGTTTATATACTATACTCTCAATAGTGAAATTAAAGAGATGAATTCTTGTGTATGTACTTTGTAGTGCCACTTGTATCTTTGGCGTTCCTGTAATGGCTACCAAGCACACAGGAGTCATGCTGCATCACACACTTTTTTTGTGTGGCTATGAAAAAAAAACTAGCTCAACCATCAAACACCATGCGGTCTAATCTTAACGTAATAGAACTACACGCTGTCTTTTAGAAATCCAAAACGCCACGCAGTGTGACTGTTGATAAGATAAAAATCACTAACCCAACCATCCTCTGTTTTCTCCTCTGTTTCTTCGTTTCCATGGCTACTGCTTGGGTCACTTGCTCACTCCTCTTCTCTCCGCTAAACAAACCACCCACACGACTCAAACTCCTGAATCCAAACACCCCTCTCCGCTCATCCCACGGAGCCAGAAGCATTACCATCAAGTCAATGGCGGTCCAAGAAGACGACAAAAGAACGAGCGATGAGGCAATGAGCATTGAAAATTTACGAGGATTCGTCGACCTAAACGTCGGGAAATGGACTGGCTCCTTCCACGTATGAATAAAAATCCAAACTTTGAATCTGGGTTTTGTTTGCTAGAAGATTATGTGACAAAGCTTCTTCCTTTATTTTTTTATTGGGCAGCAATTTGATGGAGATGGGAATCTGTTGCATAGGATTGATACTCGTCTTTCTGCTAGTTCGTATGGAGAAGATGAGCTCATTAGCCTTAATCAATCGTATGTTTATATGCTTATTTCGTCATTTTCTAAGATAAAAAGACAGAACTTAAGTGTTGTCTGTAACTATACCAAAGTTATGAACTTTAAATGATGTTCGAGCTAAGATGTTGTATATGTTGATAGGTTATATATAAAGCAGGCAACATCTGCCACTTCGGTTGCTGATGAAGAAGAAGAGGAAGCTGAGTGGGTGGAATACAAAATCAAAGAAACTAATATGTTCACTGTCGACAAGTATCAGCAGGTGAGAGTTGTTTTGTTGTCTCAATCACAATGCTAGAAGTTTTGAGTTTTGTTTTGTCTCTTAGGGATTTACTTTAAGTTGTTTTTGACTTTGTTGACTCTTCTCATCATTAGTAGTCTGCAGATTGGATTCTTCCCCAAGGAGAGAGCATTTTCATTGAGGTATCAGACCGCTGGAATGTTGGATACCACGTTAAGGCAAGGCGTTCTTGGAGATGATGACACTGGAGAAGAATCACCAAGGTTTGGTTTGTCATCATGCCTCTTTTGGGTCTTCTTCTGTATTAACATTTTTATGGTCCGTGGGACATGCGTGAGTAGGCTGTTAATAAGAAGTTTATAACGATTGTTTTCAGGTTTCTGAAACTTCCATCTCGACGTCCTGCTTTAGTATGTGAGAACTGCTTGTATTCTGATAAGACGGATAGAAGAGCTAGAGCGTTTCACATCATGGATCCCAAAGGTGTTCTTGAAATGCTTATTGTGTTCCTCGAAGAAAGAGGGCTTGAGAATCTCGTTCATCCAGTCCTTGACGATTCTCAGGTTAGTTCTTGTCTCAGCAAACACTTATAGTCACACCAAAGCATCAATAGTGGCCTCCAACGATTACATAGTAGTGCCCATTTCAGGTTATGTTTTTTTCTTTTGTTGTAGTATGATGGAGAAAGAATCACCCCATTTCTTGGCACTTGGAAAGGTCGTTCAATAACAAAACGAAGCGGTGTCTATGGATCAACACTATCCGAAGCCAATACTGTTGCCGTTCTTGACATTAATGACCAAGGTCAAGTAGTCCAGGTATACAATATTCACCAACACTCTTCTAGCCTTTTGCTTATGTCTCTGACCTTTTAAGGTTTCGATATCAATCAGGATATTTCCTCGACGTCTGATGTGAAAAACGTGACGACAAATGTGCACTGGGTGGGTGAAATATCGAAGAACTTGGTTACATTCGCAGAAGGATACCAAATAACTCTGTTACCAGGTGGTATGTACATGGGATGTCCCTGCGACGTAGCAAAGAGTGTTGCTGAGTTGAAGTCATTCCATTTAGAGTTCTGCTGGCTTGAATCTTCAGGTTCAAGACAGAGACTCGTACGTACATATGACCATGAAGGTTTGGCTGTCTCATCAACTTATTTTTCTGAGACGAAAGTGTGAGTTTCTTCTATGTTACCACGATCATGTATGTTCTTGTACCGTCTGTATAAACATCAAAAGTTATTATTGTCATTGACTCATTGTCATTTTACCTATAACTTCTCTTACACTAAGGCAGATCAACTCTTTAAAGTTCAAAGTTGAGATAAATGTAGAGAAAAGAAAATAACACAAGAGATAATATCATAAAAAATATCATTGAGGTAGCAGAGTAGAAAGTTACAACAGAGAGGCCAAAACTCGAGAAGATGACTTCAAGAGTTTTGGATTATGAACGTTGTTACATATAAGTTATATAGCATATAAATAAATAAAATAGAAATATAGATGTCCACATAATTTGGAAAATATACAGTATTTCGATGAATTAACACACTTTATTATTTGGTTTCTTCATCCAAAGGAGTTTGAGAGTATACAAGATGATAACGCTTACACCAGAGCTTCTCCTTCCTCAGGGATTAGTAGCATTGGGATTTGACCACGGTCAACGAAGTCAATCTGGCTCAGCCTCAGACAACACAAGACTTGTTCAGGCAGCTCTTCTGGTTTTTGAGCCTGTTTTCACGATAGAAAAACAAATGTTTGAAGCATGTATTATAACAAAGAACAAAAGATCCTCTAGTACTTATACATTGTATGAAGCTTTGTTCATTACCTGGATGGCTAAGCCGAGATCAAGAATTCCATTCTTCAGTCGATCTCTGAATGCTTCAAGTCCTTTCCGTGATATGTAGCTGAATCGATGGACATCCAAATCAATCTCAAAGTAGTTTGGACCCTGTGGAGAGGTTAAAAAAGCAAATCTCAGTTAGCTGTTAAAAGCCTGACATCTTCTTCTTCTGTTGTGTGTTTAAGAGGTTGGTGTGGTGCTTAAACCTTAAAGAAGTTGTGTTGAGGACGAGAGAGGACGGGCTTTTCATTGTAAGCCTGTACAAGCTTCTTTTCAGTCGAGCCTAGAGCTAGATCCTCAGGGTTAACAAGTCCAGCCACGATCTTAAGCCTTTCACGGAAAGCAACATTGCTGTCTTTCGCAAACCCTTTCACCTTCTCCACCTCATCATCCACAAGTTTCTGTTTCGATTCAGAGACAAAGAAACAAAACAAAAACCATAGTAAGAGATCAGTAACAAGATGTGAGAGTTATAATAAAGGGATGGCTTTCAACGCTACCTTGATGCTGTCCTGATAGTGCTGAGAAGTTTCTTTTTCGAAATTTTCTTTTAATTTAAAGTAAAGTACAATGCTCATGCCTTCTCCATCACTATCTCCAAGGAACATAGCAGCAGGATAGGTTGGTAACTGCCAACAAGGCACAAAAGTCAGGATCATTTACACATATATGCATATCAAAACGTCCATTCACATGCTAAGCAAGACTTTTTGTCAAACCAAAGACGAGGAAGCCATTGATATCTCAGTGGTTATTACCTGAATGTTGACAACGAGAAGCGCAGGGAGCTTTGCCTCGGTTTTAATGTTTGGAAGCTCAATGTGTTGGGCGATATGATCAATCTTCTTTGGACAGACAAACAAGTCAACGCCAATAGGAGTGTATGCACACTGATTTGGAGCTGGGGATTTCTTTTTGTCTCTGCAAACATCATTCTCCAACAGTTACAGAGAGAACAGTTTCTAAAGAAAAGATACAAATAACAAAGTGGTGAAAGGTGTACTTGAAATAGGTGTCTCCACGGAGTTTAAAAGTTGAAGGTGGTATCTCACACCAGCTTCCACTGGACTGCTTCTCTCTGGCAGAGCAAGGGATGGTGAAACCTGCCTTAGGACGGTACAACAACTTACGTTGCTCGGTAACTTCCTCACCATCACATGATCTCCTCTTGAAAGAAAGACGATAAACTGCAGATTTTCGTTTCTGTGATGTGGGTGAGTTTAGAGTCTTGTCGTTGAAACTAACCGTTGGCATTAATCGGCTCAGGCTGGACTTCAGGGTTTTCTCCTGAGAGCTCCGTTTCTGATCCTTCAAGCCTTTGAAGCTTGCATGGTTCAATAGGTTCTTCTTGTTGTTTCCGGTGATAACAGAGAGACCACTAGGATCCTTGTACACTCCTTTGCCAACGAATTTCTCGTTTTTACTCTTGTCTATCTTCAAGTAACTCTCATGGTACTCTTCGTACTTTCCTTTCCCATCCACAATGCAGGAAGAAGATTCAAATTGAACTACTTGACCATTTGGGATATTACCACTCGGTGATGATACGTTATCTGCTGGGAGATATACAAGCAAAAATAATAATTAGGCAAGTGGTTTTCTATAGGTGTATGTCTCCTGTGAAGAATGTAGATTGACATTTTACCTTCAGGCAGGCTGATGAAATCCTCATCCTCATCGGAATCAAGAACACTGAAAGAGTCAAACCATGCATCATCTTGCGAGGTAGCTGCAACAAAATGAATTCTACAAGTAAAAATCTAACATTGTCCAGTTTATTATCGTTCCTAAACATCACTCCTAATGTTTGTATGATCTAAACATCACAGCTAAGATTAATGTTAGAATGTACAGAAAGACTCACCAAAAGAAACTCGGCTCCCAACGTCAATGGGCTTTGCATGAGGAACAATGTCAGATACTTTAGAAAAATGTTTGGAAGACCTGCGACGGCCTTTACGGCGAGGACGCCTAATCCCTCTTGAATGGGTTGACACACATCCACCCATTATTTATATATTTTTCTTTAGATCCTGCTTCAAGAACAAAAAAAATGTAAATAGGTGGGATTAGAAAGAAAAAAAGCTTCATGAAAAGGCCAATGCTTCTAACATATATGCATATAAGGTTTTGGAAAGAGATAGCTAAGTAGATACATCCTCTCACATACCGAAACTCTGGTTGTCACTTTCTGTCTTATTACAAAACATTGGGACCAAGCAAGTTAGAGAAAAAAAAAATATCAAAAACCAAGTCAATACAAAATCTCTAAACTAATAAAATATAGTTAGCCAGCTCAAAAAAGTGTACATGATAAAAAACAATTATAAGAGGAAGTGGGGAACAACATCATGCATCAACAAATCTCATTATTGGATTATACTAATAGGAAAAAAAACTAAACATTTTGAGTTTTGCAACAAAAACACACGATTACATAGCCAAAAGAATCAAACTTTGATGTTAAAAAGATCTTCTAGTTAGCATTGATTATATCAATCACTTTTTCACCGAGAACTGGAACATAAAAACAACCAAACAAACAAGCATATGGCTATAAACGTCAACATCGATTCAGGAAACACACATGAAAATAGAATTGTTTGTATATTAAAAAAAGGAAAAAAAAACAATTTTTATCCTCCTAAAGACACATAACGCATGCAAAAGTTACTAACGAACAACAAAAAAACAAAAAGTGATGAATCTGTAAAGATCGTTATTGATCCATAGCTACATAAGAAAAGATCCGAACGAGGAAATGTACAAAAAGAGATGAGTTTATAGTTATACCTGAAAAAAGGAAACATGATAAAAAAAAGGAGAATCGTCTTTTTTGTTGTTTTTTCAATTTGAGAAAAGGGAAGAATCTTCCCGTCGTTATTCTCAGAGGAGGAGGAAGAAGAACACAGGGAAGGACGAATTAGATTTGAAACCCGAAGAAATCGGATCCGGGCACGGATAACAATGACGCGCAAAAGGGAAGCTAATATGCTTTTTTAAAAAAAATCTTCCCTTATCTCCTTCCCCTTCTTGTCCTCTCTCTACACTTACTTTCTCAGAGAGAGGGAGGAAAGAGAGATCTCTTTTGTCTTAAATTTGTAAATTACTAATAGCTAATATTATTAATAAAAATGGATAATTAAAAAAAAAAAAACTATTTAGAGCTCAGATCTCTCTGTTATTAATAAATTTTCCCGCCCCGCAGTAACTAGATTAAATGAAACCATTTAAAAAAAAACAAAAAGCCAGTGGTTAAGTGTGTAATTTTAGTAAAAGTTAAGGACGAAAATGTAAATACTTAACTAGAATCAAAACTACAGTAGAAACCGAAAAAAGAAAAAACTCAGAAAACGCGTCGTCGCACGATAGAGACGAAGAAGAACAACATTATTATGCTTCCTCAAAAGTAGATCCGGATCCTACTTCCCATCGGAATATTTAAGCTCCGGTGAGTTCTGATCCGTTATGCTTCTCAATTTCGGAACCGGTTTGTGTTAACCGGTTAAATTTTGCGTGTTGGTTTCGTTCTAGATCTGCTTTTACGTAATCTTGATTAAGCTTGTTTAGACTTTGTTTTGTGGATGTTGAATCGTTGCTTAAAAGCAATCATTACATTTTTTTTTTGTAAATTGTGATCTTGAATGCTTATTAATGTGTTGTGTGATGGTGAAGGGTTCTTTTAATGGCGGCAAGGAGAAATGTGCGGTATGATGAGCTTCCTAGAGATGATGATGAAGACTATGCAGGTGGTGGGAGGAGAGGTTTTGATCCTCGGTTTGATTATACACCGAAAGCGTTTGATAGAGTGCCATGGAAATCGATAGGACTAGCTGTGTTTCTTTTGTTTCTTGGTTGTTTGCTTCTTCTTTTGACGGTTTTCATCTTCACTGGTCACATGGAAGGAGATAGTTCTCAGGGTTATGCTCTTCTTGTCCTTGGCATCCTTACTTTCCTCCCTGGTAAGAGTTGGATAAAAAAAATTGTTTTGCTTATTGAGTTACTCATCTCGCTGGATTACTCTTTTGCGTGATTTTTGATTTGAAAAGCTCTTCTCGGAAGTTGTTGTTGTTGTTTGATGTGGAGTGATTTGGATAAGCTAGTGCTTGTTTTCTGTTGAAACTAAGTTCTCTTTAGCCATTTATACTTGTCTAATACTCTGGATAAGAGCAGTGAATGTTGTTGTTGTTGTTCTGAGTGTATGATGCTTGATTTGAAAATCCTTGTGGATATTCCGTTGGTTGATGTGGAATATTGAAATTAACTAGCTGGAAAGAGCATGTGTTCTTTGTCTGTTTGTAGTAATCAATGGATGTGGCAGTGATTTATATTTCATGGCTTTGACACAAACATTTTACAACCTTGTGTGGCTATTATATAGGGTTCTACGAGACACGGATAGCTTACTATTCATGGAGAGGAGCTGAAGGGTACCGTTTCGCAGCCATTCCCTCTTACTGAAGTTTCCAAGTAGCTCAATATCTGTGCATAAAAAAGTTATTGTAGTAGTTTTTCTCTTTCTTTTGTTTATTTCTGAGCAAGTCCCATTATTACACAAGTGTAATCCAAAGAACCAATATAGGCTTTTGAGCTGTTTAAACATTAAAAGCTTGGATTGTAGAGAGATACTACATAGATTGTTGTGTTCTGTTATGTAACCAGTTTTGGTTTTCCGACAAAGAACAGGACATCAAGTTTGCAACAGATGTCACCACGATTAACTTGAAATGAATGACAATCTATTATATTAAAAGAGAAGTCATGACTCACTTCATGTGTGATTTTTTTAGTTTGGACCATTCTTAGAAATTTTATATAAATTTACATAACATCATTATAGTATATTTTCATATCTTTAATTTTTATTTGAAATACAATAAATAATTTTAAAAAAATTCTAACAAAATCTTTTAAAAATCTTATAGAATTCTTTCAAGATATAGTTTCAAAAATTATTTGATTAAAAATTTAATTATCATAGAATATAATTAAAATTTAATTCATTTTTTAACAAAAAATTAAAATTATGTAATATACTTTTAACATTATCCAAAAATTTTTTTATGTATTATGTAGGTCCAATTTAATTTACTTTTTTATATATTTAAAATTTAGAAATAAACAAATATATAAATTAGTAATATTACATAATAATTTTTTTAAAAACTGTTACAAAAATAAAAATTTATAAATTTTATATTAATAATTTATAAGCTATATAAATATTATTATAAAATTGGATAGTATATATAATCAAATTATATTTATTTATTGATAAATTTTACTCCCTCTGTTACTTAATATATGATGTTATGGATCATAGCACAAAAATTAAGAAATTTACATTCTTTTACAAAATTATTTTTAAAGATATAATTTTATAACCATTCAACAAATCATTAAAAAGAGTAAAATTTTATCGGTTGAACAGTTTCCAATAAATTAAAAATAAATTTAAAACCTCAAAATATACCTTAAAACCTCAAAACATCTTATATTTTGAAATAAAATAAATCTTATAAAACATCATCTATTTAAAACGGAGTGAGTATTATATAATTTCAAATATTTTCGTATTAAAATACCCGCACGGTTGTGGGGGTCGAGATATAGTTCACTGTTAAAACATATTAATTTTTTTAAAACATGTAATATTTTTATACAAAAAATGTTAACATATATTTTTGTAACTCACAACAAATACATTATCTAAAAATATATATATATATATATATGTATATATGATTTTTTAAAAATAATTACAACAATATATTATATAAAAATAATTTAAACAGTAAGATTATATAGTTATAGAATATATAACAATAAAATGTAAATCATATATTTGAAGATTTTGTTATATTTTTATAAAATGAAAAAATTACCCGCACGGATGTGCGGGTTCAAAATCTAGTATTGATTAAACAGTGTCCCTTTACATTATGAATGGGTAGATCATTATTTGTTTGACTGACGTAAAACATAGGAGTGTTGTGTTGAGCAAATATATTTATTTAATAGTAACTTAAATGTATAATTAACTTGATTCGTAAAACCTACTAAAGTAATTTAGAAAAAAAGAATTAGATACGGTAAACCAATTAAATTGGGGTGATTAGTAAAAGAAGAAAGATGAAGACTCTAAAAAAAGACTGACTCAGCTCTGCGTCAGAGTTGGAATCTGAGGAGTTCCCGAGGATATTTTGAAGACACCCGTAACCGTAAGTCAGAGGAGAGTAAAATCTTTTCATTTCTCTCTTCTTTGTCAAAACTAAAAGCTCCACGTTTCTTCTTCTCTTTCGCTCTCTCTTATCGTCCAGATTCTCTCTGTAGATTTATTATCACTCTCCTCTTCGTTTTCAATCAATTTTTTCTATTTCGATTCCATTCCCCGATCTGCTCTGTAACAAAGGTGTAAAATTTTGACTTTTTTGTTTGTAAAGTTCATAACTTTATAATTGATCAGTTTGTGGATTTTGAGATGGTTATTTGCTGATTAAAAATGCTTTAGAATTTGCGATTTAGTTAGTTCCATGGTTTAGGTTGCAAAGTCAAAACCACTATTTCTACCAAGTAGCTGGTCTTGTCTGGTCTCTTACAAGTTCATGTTGGGTTTAGGTTTAGCTATGGCACTAATGAGTTTCTATTTTGCATAATTGGGACAGGCAGGAGGAGAAATGGATCAATCATCAAACAGATTTGGGAGTAGTGGTGTTGAATCAATTTTACCAAACTACAAGATTGGTAAAACACTTGGGATTGGCTCTTTCGGCAAGGTCAAAATCGCTGAGCATCTTCTCACTGGCCACAAGGTTGCTATCAAAATCCTCAATCGCCGCAAGATCAAAAACATGCAAATGGAAGACAAAGGTAACTCATTTAGCCACTCTTTTTGACTTGCCTTTGATCGATTATTATATTGAAATGTTTGTGCCTTTTCTTCTTTTACAGTGAGGAGGGAGATTAAGATTCTTAGGTTGTTTATGCATCCACACATCATTCGGCAATATGAAGTCATAGAGACTCCAGGTGACATTTATGTTGTGATGGAGTATGTCAAGTCTGGAGAGCTCTTTGATTACATTGTTGAGAAGGGTAGATTACAAGAGGACGAGGGTCGTAACTTTTTCCAGCAGGTTTGTTTTTCTTATGCTCTTAGTCACAACCACTGTCTTTGTTGCTTCCTTCTCTGAGTGTTGACTCATATCTGAGCAGATAATATCTGGTGTGGAGTATTGCCACCGCAATATGGTTGTCCACAGAGACTTGAAGCCTGAGAATTTGCTTTTGGACTCGAGGTGCAATATCAAGATTGTTGACTTTGGCCTCAGTAATGTCTTGCGTGACGGTCATTTTCTTAAGACCAGCTGTGGTAGCCCCAACTATGCTGCTCCTGAGGTAATTAGTTTTAGTAAAGTTTTCAGTGTTCTTATCTATCTGACACTTTATTGAAACATCTCTTACTACCTGTTGTAGGTTATATCAGGAAAATTATACGCTGGACCTGAAGTAGATGTTTGGAGCTGCGGAGTTATATTGTATGCTCTACTCTGTGGTACCCTTCCTTTTGATGATGAAAACATTCCCAACCTTTTCAAAAAGATAAAGGTACTCTACTTTGATTCAGCTCAATGACTCTTCTTAACTGGACATCTGAGTGTTGATAGATTCACTCATCCTAGTTCTTCTGTTGATGTCATCATGTTTATGTCAAGTAACTAAACGGAGGTGTTGTTTTCTCTCTCTAGGGTGGGATTTACACTCTTCCAAGTCATTTATCGTCTGAGGCTAGAGAACTGATCCCAAAGATGCTGACAGTTGACCCAGTGAAACGAATCACCATTCCCGAGATCCGTCAACACCGTTGGTTTCAGACTCATCTTCCTCGTTATCTTGCTGTTTCTCCACCAGATACAGTAGAGCAAGCCAAAAAGGTTGGTTTTCATTCAGCACCATTTGGAAAAGCAAAAGAATCACTTAGCGGTGAGAGAGTAACAACTTCTCTTATGCTTTGCAGATCAATGAGGAGATAGTTCAAGAAGTGGTTAAATTGAGATTTGACAGAAACCACGTTATGGAATCTCTTCGCAACAGAGTCCAAAACGATGTATGTAGTTTTCTGTCTGTAATGCTTTTAAACTCTTATAGTTACTTGAAATGCCAATTGCTCCTTGTTTCAGGCTACTGTTACATACTACCTGTTATTGGACAACCGGTTCCGTGTTACAAGTGGCTATCTTGAATCCGAGTTTCAGGAGACAATAGTATGCGTTTTTTTCTTTTCTCCTAGTATATAGCTTTCCAACATCTAAAAGCATAATTTGTTTTTGACATTATATATTTTTGCTGGTCAAACCCAATGTCTCTCTACTAAAGTTTTCACTTTCTTCAAATTTAGGACAATGGTTCCAATGCTATGCGCCCAGGTGAAGCCGCTGCTTCACCTGTAGGCCACTGGGTTCCTACACATATGGATCAGTTCGGGTTAGGAGGAAGATCACAAGCACCAGTTGACCGAAAATGGGCTCTTGGACTTCAGGTTTGTTCCTGATTGCTCTGCTTCGTCTTGCCAGGATCATCATAGTATTTGTAAAATTAGGCATTTTATAATCTGTTTTCTTGTTTCTTAATGTATACTCTTTACCTCCCACATACTCAAATTTATAATCAATCTGGTGTTTTTGAACAGTCGCAGGCGCATCCTCGTGAAATCATGAATGAAGTATTGAAAGCTCTTCAAGAACTCAATGTGTGTTGGAAAAAGATTGGGCACTACAACATGAAATGCCGATGGGTTCCTGGTTTTTCTGATGGTCAGAATACTATGGAGAACGAATCGAGCATCATTGAGGATGACTGTACCATGACCTCACTGACCGTCATCAAATTTGAACTTCAGGTAACTGCAGACTCACTAATCTTAGGAATTATTGGCTCAACAAGACACAGCCTATTTCGGTTTGGCAAGGATATGAACTGTTCAACGGTTAGGACAGAGACCAGTTCTTAAGATAGTAGTTACGCTTCTTGGTTTTCCAAAACTAAACTGGCTAGGGCAGTGACTAAACCCTCTGCAAAACTTGAATCAACTGTTGTAGAACAACAATGTTCACATGTATCATTACACACACTTGCAACATTTTTTTTCTGAGTTAACTTTTTGATTTTGAAACAGCTGTACAAAGCTCGCGAAGAGAAGTACTTGCTGGATATACAGAGAGTTAACGGTCCTCAGTTTCTCTTCTTGGATCTATGCGCCGCCTTTCTTACCGAGCTCCGTGTGATCTGAAGCTTTTAGCCATTTGTTAAGACATTTTAAAATGTTTTACGGTTTGTAATAGTAGAGAAGATAATATAATATGTGAGTGCAGTGTTTACTTTGCCGGGTTACTTTTATATATTACCTGGATTCCAAGTTAAAACTCTCTACTGTAATAGTTACTATCGTTTCCCCCTTTTGATGGTTTTGTAAGGTTTGATCATGTGTACATAAAACTTACCTGTTTCCAGGATACACTAAGTTTCTTCTATTTGTTTTTTAATTGAACGACCTTCAATCTTATTTTCAATCTCAGTGTATCTATTTGATCATCATTTCTTGATGTTTTTTTGTTAAGCGAGGTTAAATCTAATTTGGCTAGTTTCTGGTTCATTAGATTTTTGTAGTTACCCATATCTTCTTAGCCTTAACCAACAGCATATAATGTCTCAACTTAGGCACATTCTACATATTCAAATATGCATCACTGCGTTGCCGATGTTGTCTTAACTTGTGTGCTTTAGAACTTGCACGATGCCTACCACTCTACCAGTAAAATACAAACTTGTTGGTTTTCACATGTTATACTTTGTTCGGCCTATTCCAGAAAGTTGAAATCTATTGCCAACATCTTATTAATTTTTTTAAAAAAAGAAAAGAAATTATATTTGCAAAATTCACTACCTCCTTCTGCACACCAAAATTATAAATTTATAATAAGGTGAGGTTCCGTACATAAACCACATGTTTACTAATAGTTTTAAATCTATAAAATTTATACAACATTTTAGCTATGACACATGTAATCACTAAAATGTTTCTCAAAGCCATTAGAAAAATTTGTTGATACAGTTTTTATTAAAATAAATAATAATATGTAATTAATATTTTTTCCTTCTTTCTCTAAACAAAAATTATGGTATTATCTAATAGAATTAAAGTATATATATATATATGAAGATTAGTGTTTTTAAAAATAAAGTTTTAATAACAATATGTGTATTCTCCACCATTTATGTGTGATTTTTATTATTAACACAAAATAAATAATCATATTAAAAATTTAAAGTTTGGGTATATGTTATAATTTGAATTTTTAGAAATGAACACAAATTATTAAATATATTAAATTTCTCACACTAGAAATTGGTTATTAATGTTTAAAAAAATTAAAAAAAACAATATTTTTTAATAAAAGGACAATTAAAATGAAACATATGGAATATTATTTATAAATGGATTATTGTTTGTATAATTAAAACTTTGGATTTGATATGCTATGGTTTATGTTGTTGATGATCTATGTCTAGGAAAAAAATATATAACAATTAAAAATGGGCATATGGAAAAACAAATGTCTTTTTTTTTCTTTGCATGTTGTTTGTAAGCAATTTCAAACCGAAAAAATCAAATCATCTGAACCGAACCGAGCTGATGTTTTTAAACCTGGTCTTAACCTTTTCGCCGATTGAAATGCGAAACAAAAAAATCTCTACCAGAAAACGAGAGCGATTACAATCTCTCTCACTAGCTTGGATTCGTTATCGCTGCGTAGAAGAACAAGGTGAGATTTCTCGAATATGTTTGATCCTGTGCTCTCAATTGTAAAACAGTGTACTCCGGATCAGTTGTTTTCGGTTACGTTTTGATTTTAGATCATATCATTCGTTTAATCTATTATTTCAGAGAAGTTATCGATCATTTCTTGGTTGTTAGGGACTTTGGATCTATTGTTTGAGGATGGAAGAACCAATAAGAGAAGCTTCGCAACAAGTGTCTGAAGAATTCAAAACTCTTGTTAATGCACAAGATCTCAATTCTCTCAGACACTTGCAGCACCTCATGTATGTTATGTAGCTTCTCACATAATGTTTTAAGTGGGGGATATGGTTTATTGATGATCGTTTGATCAAAATGATTTGTGGGTAAGTAGATTGGGGAGGCTACAGGATAGCAATGCAGTTCTGTCCCATTACAATGACTTTGCAGAGAATTGCTTCGCTGATGTATCCATGGAGTTGTCTAGAAACACTCGTCTTTTGAAATCCATGAAAGCTGACCTCGATTACATCTTCTTGAAACTCAGGTGGTTTTATATATGAAGAATGACTCAAAGACTTGTTTTTTTTTTTTGCTCTCTTTGTTTCTTACCAATGCTCTCTCCCCTCCCGCCATTTTTTCAGGAGCATAAAAAGTAAGATTATGGCTACGTATCCAGACGCATTTCCAGATGACTCCACTAGTGATGCTTTTGATCGAAGACCCGATCTCGAGCTGCCTCAGTAACTAATGCATTCAGATTGTGTGTGCTTGGGGGATTCAACACTTCTTTTTCTTCTTCTTGTTTGATTCTTGACAGAGAACTCGTTTTTTAATTACCTTTATAGGTTTTTCATACCAGATGTGTTCCTTAGATATTTAAGTAACTAACGAATTTCAAACCTGGCCTTGTTAATTAAGTGAAGTATTAACTCTTGTATCTAGTTCTTAAGCATAACCATCCGTTATGGTTTTGTATCGAATTTGTTGCATGTGCTTATCTAAAAAAATCATGTTTTCTTTATAAGTTGATGAAGCTCATCAAAGTCTGTAAATGCAAATCAAGAATCTGAAGTGAGTAAGAGGAAGACAGTCACTAACAAAAAGTTTTGATCCGTCAGAACAAAAACAGGAATTACAAATTGGGGCATTCCGAGAATTGAACTCGGGACCTCTCGCACCCTAAGCGAGAATCATACCACTAGACCAAATGCCCTTTCTGTTATTCAGCGATAACTTGTATTAAGTTGTACGGAACTATAACTAACAAATCTCACACCCACCTAGGCTGAATGAGTACCATACAAATCAATAAGAATTGGCATCTTATTCAATAGGGCAAAGATAATACCAAGTAGAGCAAATTGTTTTACAGTAGGTGGTTCTCAATGATCCTTTTGTTATTCAACGCCTCAGTGACAAATACAACATATTTATTCAAGTCCACTACTTCTACGCAGAATATGGTGTCTTCACTCCCATTCTTAGACACAACCAAGGCCTTTCCTGATTTGGATCCACAAAACTATGATGCAGAAAGTGTCCAGCTTCTTCATCCATCAGTTCTCTTGACCACGTAACTCGTCCAGATGAGCAGCTACCAGGACCAAAGCACCTGAGGTTTTATTACATCCAAAAAATAGTATCAAATATAATCATCAAACCTTTTGATTCTTGATTAACCACTTGCTACAACAGTAAAGATCTCTCTCAGATGATGCATACCTGTACTCATAAAAGCAAGCACTTCTCTCATTATCTGCGTTTCCCCAATTATGCCAACCAACGTTTCTGATACATGCATCCATGTAAGTGTATGCAAGTACCACCCTCCCAAATGGTCCCCATGGCCTTCCCAGATACATATACCCATTCTGACCATTCCCCGTGATCACACATCTGCAGCAACAAGTATGTCGAAGCTGAGTTTGCTTTGACAGAAATGTACAAGGCATAATAATCCTTTTGTATGAAACAAAAGCAGACCTTAGGAAAACGTAACCAGTGGATTCCTGAGACGTTTTGCGGCTTTGCGCTGTTATAAAACCCTGAGATTTGCAGTGGATATGGCAGTGTTCTAAGAGTGCCGTGCTGTTTCCAAATATGAAATCCACGCTTCCTTCGATGTAGCAGTCTTTCAGATACTGCTTCCCATGATGCAAATACAATGTATCCTGCATTTCACGGTTTTCAATAAAGCTAAAGGAAGATTGGACAAACATACTTTCAACTTAATCTATCTAAACTAAACAAGAACATCGATTCCAGTATATATAATTATGTATTTGCAGGACACGTCGATCAAACTGTCAAAAACAAACAACAGCAGTGCATTGAAGAGACCTAAAGAACTGTGAACAACAAACCAACACAAAGCTCTATAGAGAAAGATTAGAAAAAAAAACATTTGAAGTTATCATGCTCAAAGCGAACCTGCCAGCCCAGGAAGCGACAGTTATAAAAGGCACAACGGTCTGCAGTAACTCTTATAGCCACAGCTTGCCCTGATCCCTATATACATAACAAGTACAAGGGTCAACAAAAAAACACTAACTAGTATACTTCATCTACACGATAAGCATTAGTAAAATATACTCCAAGAGATACACAGAACTGAATAAACAAGTTGTGAACTTTTTTAAAACCTGAGGGATTCTCTAATTATAAAATGTGTTAAAAAAAAAAGTAACAGAGTTTACCTCAGGAGAAGAGTTCTCAAAAGTAACGTTCTCAGCAATAAAGTCTTCTCCTTCAACAATAACACTCCCACACCCAAACGTTCCCGTCCCTATCACTCTAGAAGCCTTCAAACAAACAAACAAAACAAACCATCAGACAGTGATTCACTGATGCTGCTAAGGTTTTCAGATAAAACCTGGTGATGCTCAATCTTCGAAGCTGTATTGTTCCAAGTGAGAAGGGTGATCTCCGGGGAGATTCCGGCGAAAGTAATAAAGTTTTTCCTCTTGGGAACGTACACAGGCTGCCTGTAGATCCCCGGCGAGATGCGGATGACAGTACGACAAGTGTTTCCGAGAGGAACCGAGTCAATTGCGTCCTGAACGGAGCGGTAATCACCGGTACCATCCTGCGCAACCAACACCACTCGACTCGTCGCCATTCTCTCTATCTCTAGTGACGAAAAACCTAGTAAAGGTGTACTGGAAAATAATCTATAGATTGATTGCGTCGATTTGCGGCAGAATATTGGTGGGTTTTTTTTTTGTTTGATTGGTGTAAAAGGGAGATGCTTTAAATTGGGTTATAGGTGTCGTGTTGTTAGATCAACATCTGTGTTCTGTTTTTTTTTTTTTAGTTCTTTGTCTTTTCGTCTTTTTTTTTTCTCTTAGTTATTCTTTAGTTTCAATTATTTGTATAATTCAGTCCATAGTTTGAAAGGGTAATCTTTAGCCCAGTACCCAAAAAGGTATTGTTGAAAAGACCTCAAAATAAACGATACAATAATGTGTAGTTATTGTTGTATACTCTCTCCACTTCAAAAAAATATATAGTTGAGTTTTCACATATAATTAAATATATTTTAATCTTATTTAAAATATATAGTTGAGCTTTCACATATGACTAGAATAGACCAAAAAAGTTTATCACAAATATATATATTAACAATTAAAATTACTAAAATAACACTTAAATGTTTTATTAAATATACATTTATACTATTTGGGTTAACTAATCCTAAATTTTTTTGTTTAGAGTTGAAGAGTAGGGTTTTGGGATAGGGTTTCAAATTTAAAAAAATTAAGAAAACTTAAAATTTTCAAAATAAAAAGGATTAATTTGGTCATTTTAATTTTTGAGATCTATTTTTGTGGTAAAAAATTTAAAAGAAGACTATTTTAGAAAATTGTCTTTAAGATCATCGGTAAGAGTTTATACAATGAACAATATGGTTTGCGGTTCGACCGGGTCCTGCCACATCGATACTTTGACTTAGACAACAAAGATAAAAGCCACGTGGCATCATTGACTTTCCCGCGCGTAGAGGCCGCCAACTAAACAGGGGGATGATAACAAACTAAGCAAACCATGAATGAATGTGAGAGCAAGTCTCTTAACAAGTTTCGTTTTATGCGTTAAGAGCGAGAGAGATCCATAAGGAGAGAGACCGTCTTAAAAAACGATGCCGTACTACACTAACGAAGATGACGTGGATGACTTCAACGACTACGATCCGACGCCCTACAGCGGAGGCTACGACATCACCGTGACGTACGGCCGCTCTGTCCCTCCTTCCGACGAGACTTGCTACCCTCTCTCCTCTCGCTCCGGCGACGCCTTCGAGTACCAGCGACCCGTGTTTTCTGCCAGCCACGAGCCCGCTGCTTACGGCGACCAGGCTCTCACCACCGAGTACAGTAGCTACACCCGACCCAAGACCCGACCCGGAGGTCACGGAGGCGGTCACGTGGAAGGTGGGAAGAAGCCTGAGTACGGTGGATCTGGATCTGAGTTTGGCCGGAGACCTGAGTCAGAGCATGGATCTGGTTATGGAGATGACAAGAAGCCTAGCTATGGCCATGGCAAGGACGATGATGAGAAAGAGAGCCATAAAAAATATGTAAGTTTGATCAATTTCATTTTAATAAAGTGTGTTTCGTTTTTGCTGCATTGTCTGAAAATAGGAATATCCGTGGAATCTAGAATCTTTCAGTGATTGTGTTTGTTTCATTGATTGGATCTTGGTCTCAAATTAAGAACATTCTTTTGAAAGTTTATGTCTTTTTAAGGAAAATAAAAATAAAAGTTTGTCTTTGGATTGAGTTAGTTTTTCTTGCAACAACCTTATTGAGTTATATTGTTTGGTCAATAATGTTTTGGAAGAATTTGGATAGAGTTTGGCTTTCTGATTGGTATTGGAAATGTTGTAGAGTGGCAAGGACTGTGATGATGAGAAGAGCAAGATGAAGGAGAAGAAGAAGGATAAGGATAAGAAGAAAGATGATGATGAGAAGAAGAAGAGCAAGAACAAGGATCATCATGATGATGATTATGATGAGAAGAAGAAGAGCAAGAACAAGGATCATCATGATGATGATTATGATGAGAAGAAGAAGAACAAAAACAAGGACCATGATTATGATGAGAAGAAGAACAAGAAGGACTATCATCATGGTAGTGATGATGATAAGAAGAATAAGAAGAAGGATCATTATGGTAGTGATGATGAGAAGAAGAAGAATCAGAAGAAGGATCATTATGGTAGTGATGATGACAAGAAGAAGAATAAGAAGGATAAGTACCACAAGGGCCATCGTGATTACGATGACTAGAAACCTTTTCTTTCTATATAAGGGATTTTGCATCTCTCAAGCTTTTAGTCACTAATCAAGTAACCCACGCACACTTTTCTCTTAAGTTTTATGTCAATTGTTGTTTTGTTTTTGCTTTCCCGTTTGTGCTATCTTCTTGAAATTATGCAGTATGACTTTTTCTAGTGATGAAATATTTGGAACCTCGGGAAACTAGAGTTCTTCTTTCGTTTCGGTCTAAACTAAGAAAGTCGGTCTGATATAGGAGTAAATCACAGGCATAAAGCCGTACTTTTTGTGGTGGTTTGATACCAGTTTTGTTCGGCATTTTATTTGACATCTATCACTTTAGTGCTTTGTTTGATGTAATTTCCTTTTCGTATGTATCCCGAAATGGAATGGCTGATTTCGTGGTAAAACCAGCACTCTCATTGCTAACTCCTCCGAGCTTGGAGTGTAAAACCTTTGATATTTATGAGATGAATGTATGTTTGCTCAAAAAAAAAAACCGTACTTTTTGAAGATGAAATAAGCATGTCTATAATGTTAAATAAGCATGTCTATAATGATCAATCATGTCTATAATAAGCCGTACTTTTTGAAGATGAAATAAGCATGTCTAGAAGAAAAAGAATCTCCAATATGTGACCCAGGGTTTCTAATCAGTAGAAATGATTGATCAGATTTTGGGCTAGCACAAAACGTAATGTTAAATTCTCCAAAATTCAAGACAAAGAAGTTTATAGCCGAGAATACCAAAAATCTGGTCATGGTAAAAGAAAAAAAACTTGTTGCTGAATAGAGAAACATATATGTAAAAAGCCCAAACTCTTAGAGCAAGGCCCAAAAAGACAGAAGCAGAAGTAGGGTTTTACTATGGGTTTATATATAAGCTTCGATGTGCAGAAGCAGTTCTTAAATTAATTTTGTTAGTAAATCTCCAATCCTTAGTGTCTTCGGCTGTTTCTTTCTTCTCCTTCACTGCGGTCGTTCTTATATTTTCTGTTTGATTTTGATTTATTAAGTATGAGATTGCACAAGTACTGGGACATCCCCAAATAAAATTGGGGAATCTGTCTAATTAATTATCTGTGCGTATATCAAAATTAGGGATCCGCTTTGCAGCCTATGACCCAACCCGATTTGTTCGGGTTCTCTTTGTCTCTGCTGCCAGTAATCTCCTGAAATTTCTTCTGTCTCAAAGAAACCCTTCTTTTGTTCTTTCTGCGAAATTAAAATCCAAATTATATGGTCAAAGTAGAGTTTGAAATCTGAAAGGCCAATTCAAATTGAGCCGAATTGGTTTGTAAGTTGTAACATAACTTAAATGAACTCACTTTTGGTAGTATCCGAATTCAACTTAACTTATATTCGGTTCCGACAAAACTTGTCTGTGAAGTAACTAGTTTTTTTTCTTTTTTTGTAACATAAGGTAACTAGTTAAAACTAAGTATGTTTTCACGAATATATTGTAGTATCCAACGACGTTTCTGTAGACATGCCACATTCATAAATCATAAACCGCGAAATAAAGAGAATACGCAAAACATTAGTCTATTTTAGTTGCAGAAGAACATGTATCCCCTAAAAAAACATAGTGAAAACATTTTGATGAGAACATAAGCAATATTCAAGAACAAGAAGAAAAACTTTGTGACTGAATGTTCTATGCTGATTACCCAATCAAAGTATCTCTCATTCTCAAAGAAGGCATTAGTAAAAACGTCCCAACAGAGGATGATTACCAGAATAAACTAGTTATTTATGTCTGGTACGGAGAGCAAAGACGTCGGCTTTCAACCAAGTGGTACCTTGCTCAGGAATTGTGACGAGGAAAATATCCGAATCGTTGGCTGGCAGTTTAAGATTTCTTGTAACAGAGCTGGTGTGTGCCAGATTCCTTAGAACTTATACGTTCTACGATGTAAGAATAGTATTACACTCTAGTCTCTAGCTAAATAATATGTACACCTTATACCGTAGCTGTAATTTATCAGTCACACCAACGATGAGCTTGAAGAATTCACACTCGGTAGATATATTTACATTTAAAAAATATTTTGTTTTTGTTTTTGGTTGGTGGCCTAAGAAGGCTAAGACACATGAAATGACATGTAAAACTTCGGTGACTGAGAGAAACACTGAACAAATTGTTGGTTTTCTAACTAATCTAACCTCTAAAACAATAATATAGTTCTGTTGTCAATCAATGATTGTTTGGTTTTAGTGTATAATTTTGGATCATCTGAATTGATACAATCCAAACCGAAAAAAAAAACTAAAATAAACAATTCAAAACAAATTCATAGACATTTTAAATCACTCCCAAAATATGAGATTTTTGAATGGCTTGCCAGAAGAGAATCAAATTACACAAGTGGGTCCTTTTTACAAAATGTTACAAGAGTCTTTCAATGTCTTTGTATATCCTAGAGTCTAGAATCTAGAGCAAACACATAAACTTATAAACCCTAAAATACCACCTAATTGTTTTTACTCCATATATACACCCCAATTCTCGATCAATTCCAGTTCACAAATTCAGAAATTCCAAAAGCAATCGACCTCAACCGGACCGGTCGAACCAAAAACATTGTGACCTTGCCAAGTTAATTCGTTTTCAGCTGCACCTAGACCCTGGATACTCTTCTTAAACTTGGTTTCTTCACTGTCAAGCAACATCTTCAATATGGAAGAATTATCTTGCATAAACACATTATCAGCGTAACCAATGTTCGGTATCAAGTGAGACGCTGAGGAACCGAGCATGGAAACGTTACATTCATCTTTTAACTCGGAGACGTGACTCTTGTCCTCCGTTGTTTGGTCGGAGAAGCAGGTCACGTGACCGAAAGTGTCCATCAGCGGAGGTAAACCAGCCGGTTCGACTTGGTTAAACCCTGAACCGAGCATCGTTAAGCCGTATAGATGCATCTTCTTACCGTCTGCACCTTTCTGAAAAACCCTACTAATAACCCATTCGTTCTGCATTCAACAAACAACACCAAACTCAAAAACAGAGAACTCTTACACACACACACAAGAACACAAGTTATTACCTTAGCGGTTTTAGGGAGATTGTCGGTTGCATAAATTCCTTCTAAACGATACTCGTGAATAACCCAATTTGTTTTCACACCTTTAGGAGCTCTTCCTTTGTAAAAAACCAAAGTTTTCTTCATACCAACAAGAGCTTTTTCTTTGAAGATCTCTTTGTCTTTCCCTGTAGCTTTCCAATAACCGGCCTTAGTAGCCCGATTCGTCCTTAAACCGGTCGGGTATTTCCGATCTCTTACACAGAAGAAGTACCACTCCTTTTCACCAATCTTAGCCTTCCCTATTACACCAAACAAGAAAAAAAAACAGAGTGAGCAGAGATAATACAGAGTAACAAAACAGAGAGATTTAAAGAAAAAGAACGTTTAACTTACAAGGCAAGTCCCACGGCTCAACCTTGTTGAGATCAACTTCACCAATGGCTATAGCGGAGAAGAGGGTGTTTAGAACCTTCGGTTTCAGGTAGTGGCTTATGAGTTCTTCATCTGTTGGGTGAAATCTGAAGCCAGGTAGCAAATCAATCTGCTCTGAATCTTCTACGATCTCACCAGTTCTTGATACCTCGTAATCCATTGGTGTTGAAGATGAAGAGATGTGAGACACAAGAAAGAGTTTTTGTTTCTTTATGTTAAAGAGAAAGAAGAGAGTTGTTTTTTTTTAGGTAGGAGAGAAGAGAAGTTGGTTTGAGCAGCCACGATCTTTATACAAGTTTGAATCATAAATTATTATAGGTTTTTTATCCACCAATTATTGGTTACTGTTTGGTATCAAATTATATTTTTCTATAATTATTGTAATATGGTTATCCAGAGTTTGGAGGATAATTATTATAGTTTGTATACACCAATAATATCTCAGTTCTATATTAATAAATTTATTATTTTTTTTGTTATTATACAAGTCAATGTAGACCCGATCGACCCAACCATAAATATAGTTCCAAAAAAATCTATCAAATTTGATTTTGGTTTTAGGGAAAATTGCCAAATATGACTCAAAACTTGATTTGAAATGCAAAAGTAAACCCAAACTTGAATCAAATGCAAAAGTAACTTTAAAGGCTATTGAAATTACAACCAACCCCTTGTGAACAAACAAAAAAATGGTATTTTTTTTTACGTTTCTAGCCCTCGTAAGTCGTCTGCCCAGACGACTTAACTTAAAGTCGT